TATAAATACTATCATAGTGCAGATAATCTTTGGCAAATTGTGTTCATTGCTCAATATCTTCGTGAGATTTATATTATAAATCTTCAATTATAGAGCTGTGTTTTATTTTCACTCTGTTTTCCACTATAGTGAAACTAGAGTTCATGCATCATTTGCCTGTTGAGGTACAGTCGAATTGTTTCCAGGTTTTTGCTGATATAATTTGTACTGCTATGACTTTTCTGACGCATCTCTTTAAGCAAATTGGTGCAAGCACTTTGGAAAATAATTTGGCATTAATTTGTAAAATGGAATGTACCTCTTCTTCAGGGCACTTTCACTAATAATATGTAAGAGTTCCTCTTGCTTGCACCTGTAAAACACTTGATGTGGTCAGACTTGTACATTTTGCCTATCTAGTGGGTGTGTAAATTTTGCCCATCCCATTTTGTTAATGAGTTTTGATCTTAATTATGAAGGTTTTATTAGTTATAATTAATGAAGACTTTATGTTGAGCCCCTTTTCATAGGTTTACTGGTGATTCTTCTGTCAAATAGTTGTTTATATATTTTGTTCATTTTTCTATTTAGTTGTCTTCTGATTTTTTTAAAAAGACTTCTTGATTCTGGACAATGATTAATTTGTTGTAAATATCTTTTCCTAGTCTATGCTTTGCCTTGACATATTCTGATGAACACAAATTCTTAAAGTAGATTTTTCAAAATGTTTTTTCATACTTTCACAGGTTATACTTTTTTGTTTAAGAGTAGTTTCCCTATTCAGATATCATAAACTGTTCTCCTATGTTTTTTTCCCAAAAGTCCCAGATATTTGTCTTGATGTTTTAGTATTTTATTAACTTGAAACTGGTTTTGTATATGATTTAAGGTAAAAATTAAATTTGGTTATTTTTCTCATATAGATAATTGCATTACCTTCTTATGACTGCAGTAACAAATTACAACCAAACTCATGGCTTAAAACCACACAAATTTATTACCTTATAGCTCTGGGAGTTAGAAGTCTGAAATGGTTTTCACTGGGCTGGATTTAAGGTATCAGTAGGGCTGCATTACTCTCTGGATGTTCTAAGGGAGAACTTTCAAGATTTTGAAACTTTTCCCCCTTTCCCAACTTCTACAGGCTGCTTTCCTTCTTGAAAACCAGTAATGACTGGTTAAGTCCTTTTTGCAACAGATCACTCTAAAGAGGACATGTCTACCTCCATCTTTCACATATATGGTCCCTTGGGACTACAGGCCACTTGTATAACCCAGGATAATCTACTAATCTTTATTTTTGTGGTACTGTGGCTTGAACTCAGGGCCTATATCTTGAGTCGCTTTACCAGCTCTATTTCTGTAAAGGGTTTTTTTGAGATAGGGTCCCACAAATTATTTGCCCAGGCTGGCTTCCAAACATGATCCTCCTGATTTCTGCCTCCTGAGTAGCTGGGATTACAGGTGTGAGCCATTGGCACCTGGCTGATCTACCAGTCTTAAGATCACTTTATACCTTAAATTGGTTATAGCAAAGTCCCTTTTGCCATGTAAGATAGCATTCATAGGCTTAGGGGATTAGGATAGGGATTTCTTTGGGGAAGCATTGTTTTGTCTCCAATAATAACCAATGAATTCAGCATAACTTATTGACAATTTTCTGAATTTGAGTCTAGAGGTGTACTGGTCTGGTGGCAATAATAATAACAGCCAAACACATGTGTCAAGAAATTTACTAAGCTTTTATACATACCATTTCATTTAATTATCCCTACAACACTTGGTGCTAAACACTATTATTATTATCCTTATCTTAGAGATAGTAAATGAGGGACAGAGAAGTTAAGTAAGAAGGTAGGAAGTAGCAGAGTCCGGATTGAAACCTAGGCAGTTGTGTTCCAAAGTCCATGTGCTTAGCACCATGCTATTGTTAGTGGAGAAATCTAGCTTTCCTTACATGTATATTCATGCCAAAGTCACATAGTTTCTCTGAGCCTCGGTTTCATTTCCTGTTGCACAGGAGTAGTACAGGATCTTTTCTGCACTCTACAGGCCTGCTGTACACAGGGCATATCAAGGCAACATGCTCCAAAGCAGTGCAGACAAGAAAAACAGGGCTCCAAGAGTTGTCTGCCACTTGCCACTGGCACAAACAGGACTGGGACTCGGGTTTCCTGGCAGCCAGGCTGAGGCAGGATGGTAATTACAGCAGTTATGGAGTTCCATCATCAAACCGATATTCCTTCACCAACCTCCTGCCCTTAACAGCCAGTATCAAAGCAATTGTCTGTGTATTCAATCAACTGTACATTAAGAATGTTACTAAGTCTTAGGTGAAACTGTCACAAAGTTCAAATATGAAATGATACTTTTTAGTTGAAACAGGGTAAAGTCTACAAGTAATATTTATATTATTTAACATCATATACAATGTTTAGTATTAGTTATGGATCAAGGGAAAAAGTGGGAGAATTTCAGAAACTGACAGAAAAGGGGAGTCACACAGCATCACTCAGGAAAAACCACCTTCCCCATGAATGTGAAAATGCAGATTCAATACAACTAAGCCACAGTAGTACAGTCAGCACAGTACTGGCACAGGAACAGCTAGATCAACAGAGCAGCAATGAGAGCCCAGAAACAGACATGACTGTCTACAGGGACTTGGCATATGATAGAGATGCTATCACACATTGGTGGGGAAAAGATGGATGGTTAAGAGGGTGCTGCTTGAAAACTGGATGACTATGTAGAGAAAATAACACTGCATTCCTTAGCACTATATGTTGACATGAACCCCATATGGATTAAGAGCTAAATGTAATAAGTGAAAATATGAAGCCAGATAGAGGAAAATGTAAGAACTATTTTATGACTCTGGGTGAGAAAAGATTCTCAAATAGGACCCCAAAAAGTACATACCATAAGGCTAAATGGTGCATTTGGTGACATCAAAATTAGTCATTTCTCATTCATTGTAGAACAGCAAAGACCAAACTATCAGGATCTATAAAGGATTGTCAGAAATAGGTGATATCCAAAACTGACAAGGGATTAATGTTTAGAACATATAAGAAATTCTTCCAATTCATTCAGAAAAATATTAGGAAATCCAGCAGATAAACAGGCAAAGGATGTAAATAGGTAAATCACAGAAGGGAAAAAAATTCAGTGGCTGAGTATATGGGAAAATGGTAAACATACCCATCATCAAAAATACAAATGAAAATTGTGATAGTATTTTATTATCAGATTAATATAAATTATCACATCACATAATATCAGATGTTAGCATATGAAGTGGGGAATGGGAATCTTCACATGCCATTTGTTGGAATATAAACTGATAAAGCCATTCTGGAGGACAGTGTGGCAGTGAAACCAAGCCCTGAAGACTCCATGGCCCAGAAATTTCATTTCATCCTTATGGCCTGTAAGGGACAGGTGCAATACCCGTTTCAGCAATGTCTGTGATCGAAAGGAACTGTTGGCATCTAACTCCACTTTTGAGGAACTGATAAGTAAAATGTGTTAGACACACAAATTGAATACAATCAGTGTTACAATTAATGAATCCCTGGTATATGGAACCACATGCCTAGCTAGATCTTTGTTATGGTTTACATCTTAAATACTCCCCAAAGGCCACGTGTGGAAAGCTTGGTCCTCAGCCTGGAGTGCTATTTGGAGATATGGAACTTTTAGGAGATGGGGTCTAGTGGAAATTAGGTCATTGGGGTATGCCCTTGAGGGGACTCTAGGGACCCTTTTCTTCTTCTCCCTCCCCTCTCCCTTTCTCTCTCTCCTTCCTGTGGACATTAGGTGAACAGTCTTTCTCTGCCATGTGCTCCTGCCCTCTTAACACACTGCGTTGCCAAGGCCCAAAGCAACTGAGCCAAGTGACCATGGATTCAAACTGAGCCAAGATAAATCTTTCAAGTTAATTCTGTCAGGTATTCTGTCACAGTGATAGAAAGCTAATTAACACAATTGCTGAGATATTTATGTTGAGGAAAAATAAAACAAGAAACAGAATGAGTTCTTAGCACAATTTCATTACCTTATATAGCTACGTAAACATTCAACAGAGGTGCCTATGGGGAGTGGAGGAATAGGAGTGAGGAAGGCATGAGTGCAAAGTAAGCAAAGGCCCTTGCTGACTCATCAACATGATCCTTGTTCCTGAGGTCCAAACACTTGTGCCAGCCTCCCTTCCATCGCCTCCTGGTCATACCTGAACCAAGTGTAAGCGACTCACCTGAGCTTGCCCAGAGCAAGGCCTTGCTCCATAAAGGACCCAGGTGCCTCTCTCTTCCACCCACCTTGCCCAGCACTAGTTTACAGCTCCCTAAGCACCTCACAACTCAAACAGGCTCAGGATTCACTCCAAACGGCTCTTATGCCTATTTGTAAAGCCTTATTGATAGTTTAGGATTCAGTTTTAGGTGTCTGGATTTTCCAGGAGCCCTTTTTGAGATGCTACCCTTCCTCAAATGCCAGCCCTTCCAGGACCTATTCCCCGTCCATTGGGTACACATCCGTCCTAGCTGCTTCATTTTGGGCATGCACCCCTCTCCCAGGGCTAGACCTGAGCTGGGGAGTCTCTGAGTCAGCAGCCAGTAAGCTGGACCAAGTGCACAGGAATAAGTGGAAAGTTACTCTCCACGTGAAGGAGACCCCAGCCTGCCTCTCCCCTGCTTCCCTGTCATTGGCTCAGCCTCCCCGCGCCCAGCCCCCGCCCCCAGCCCGCCCCCGCGGGCCGCGGAAGGTGATGGGTTCTGCGCACGCGCTGCGCAGGCTGGGGGCGGGGGTGGGAGAAGAACCACGATCGGTGGGGGCGGGGCGAGGGTAGAGGAGGGCATCAAGGAGCTGGCTCAGGGCGCGACGTTGCGCGGCAGTTGCGTCCAGAAGGGGGCGGGGCCTAGGCGGGGGCTGGGGCGGCTCTCCGCCCCTGGCCCCGCCCCCGCCCTCGCGCTTCGCCCCGCCCCCTCCACTTCCCGCCCCGCCCCCTCGGCGGGCAGCGCGCTGGCTCCTGCGGACCGCGGCTGTACGCTCGCTTCGGCGGCCGAGAGCGGGAGAAAAGTCCTGCTAGTGGGCGGCGCGGGGCTTGGGGCGGGGGCCTGCGCGCGTCCGGCATCCCGGGCCGCTCCGGCCCGGGCGGCGAGGGGGCCGGGTGGTCCATGCATCCGCCGCCGCCCGCCGCCGGCGTCGCGATGGATTTCGGTCAGAACAGTCTGTTCGGCTACATGGAGGACCTGCAGGAGCTCACCATCATCGAGAGGCCGGTCCGCCGGAGCCTCAAGGTGCGCCCCATGGAGACAAACTCCCTTCAGGGCGCCGGCCGGCCATCCCGGAGCGGCCCGCCGCCGACCCCCGCCCACCCGTCACCGTCCTCTCCCGCGCCGGCCCGGACCCTGTCCGTCCTGCAGCGCCCGTCGCTGTGTCCCCTAGAACCGGCTCCTCCCTGGGCTCCCTCCTCGACACAGACGCGGCTCCCCGTCTCTGGATCCCCATCCCCGCGGGACAGACCCCCGTGGCTCTGGCCCTTGGCGTCCTAGTGTCCCCAGCCCCGCCCCTAGGAACGGCCGAGCCTCCCACCCCCGTCTTCGGGGACAGCTCCAGCACCCTCTCGGGCCCTGGCCCCTCAGTGCGCCCCCTCCTGCTGGTCGCAGCCGCAGCCCGCTCCCGCACCTAGTCCCCTCACCCCAAGGTCCACACAACCTAACGCCTCCCCACCTCTCTCTGAGACACCCCAGGTACCATCCTCTTACTCTACCCTCTTCCCCGCTAATCAGATCAAACTCAGGTCGGGGTTCCCAGGGATGCCCGGCCTCCCTTCATCTCCTGGCCGGCACCCATTCCCTCCCTGAGTCTTCCTGGTCCTGGTCTTCACAGCCCTCTCAGTCTTTTACTCCCATCCTGAGTCACCGCGCATCTTTTCCTCCCAACCCCTCCAGGACTCTAGCTGGGACCCTGCTTCCCAAGCTTCGCGACGGACTCTACCTTCTGCTTGCAGCCTGCACCCCCACGCGCTTCCCCACCCCGCAGAGTCATCTTCCTCCCAGCCTCCCAGGGGCTCCACTGCTGGCGAGCCTCGTTTAAAGACCCTCCTCCCTCCTGGCCAGTCTCTTAATAGCTCCCTTAGCGAGCCTCAGTTCCACCTGCCGCAATGTCTCCAACCTTTGATTTCCTTCCAACCCCAGAGTTTATTCCCATCCCAACCCCCCTCTCGAGATCTCCTCCTTGTCATTCCCACTCATTGCAGTCTTCATTCATCCCCCTTTTAGTATTTTCTGGGGAGGAAAATGTTGAAGAATCTTGGAGTATTAGAGATAGGAATTGTGTGTAGGTCTACATGTCCATATAAGCATATACTGAATATGCGTATGAAGTTGGTTTCAGCGAGGTTCTGAAGCCACGATGTTATTCTCAAGCTGCAATCTAGAGGCTGGAAGAGTAAAGACAGAAAAAAACAAAACAACCTCCCCCAAAGTAGATCACCCAATTAGAGACCTCTGTGGTTGATGTAGCCTAGAGTTATCAGACCCTTGTTTAGTTTTCATTGCTAATGCTTAATTGTAAAATTTTAAAAATTATTCTGTATTTATAGAGAGTGACTAGGGGGCAAGACTGACTAATGTTTGTGTACCTAATTTGTATTTTATACTTGACAGACACCAGAAGAAATAGAAAAATTGACAGTTGATGAAGACCTCAGTGATATTGAAAGGGCTGTTTATCTGCTCAGGTATTTCCTTCCTAGTCTTTTTGTGAAATTGCTGTTCTCTTTCTGTGGTGGCACAGAAGAATGCTTTCTGAAATGTCATGTTTCAGTTATATTCAGATTTACTCCTTGAACAGTACTTTGTATGTATGACACTTAATTAGATCTAAGAATTAGATTAGATTTGGACTTAATGAATTTGAGAACTGCAATCAATAAGATACTGCTTGGAGGAACAATCAGTGGTTTGAGTTGAACCTCATCCTTTTTGGTTTCCAGCTTTGGTTTTGCTCACAGAAGATTAAAGCAATTTAGATAAGATTTAAGAATACCTAGTGATTAATTTTGAAGTTCAACATAGAGTATGAATATTACATGCTATTTACTATGTAGAAAAATACAGATACGGATTTGCTGCTCAGAACATCCTGTTTATATTATTTTGGCTGTATAAAAGCTTTATAACTTTGCCTTGGAAGGTTTTTTAAATTTAGTTAGGTTCTGTCTTTTTAAGTTTCAAACCATCTCAGAGGCGCTACAGAATTGCTTATGGCAAATGGTTATTGCAAATATTTATAACAATTTTTAAAATTATTTTAATTGTGTTATAGAGTTAGCGTCTTAAATATAGTGATATTAATGGATATATTGATAAAAATTCTTTAGAAACAGATAATTTCCTAAGGCATTTTGTGTATATTGACTTTAAAATTTTTTCTTAACTTGCACATTTTTTCCCCTCTGGCAAAATTAGTCTTCACTTTTGTTTTTCAGAATCAGATCTTTAAAACTGGTGTCATTTACCTCTGAGGATAACTGTCATCCTTGTTCCCTTAGATTAGGTCTACTTTGTCAGTTTTCAGGTGCTGGCCAGCTTGTTCTTCTCTGTTCTTTTTCTAGACCATGCTTTGAGTCCTATGTTATTCACTGAATAATTCCGTGACTTGAATCTTTCTCCAGGACTTCCAGTCTTGCTGTAGTGAGGGATCAGTATCTTATCATCAGACCCCGCCCCACAAGTCTATCATTCGCAGATGCTGCTGGGTCTCAGGCTTCATCTTGATATCATCCCCCACCTTTGGTCATCTACGGTGGCGTGCTCCCACCCTTTCTACTTCTTCATTTAAAAAAAATTTTTATTTATGTATCAATTAACCGTATGTGCTTTTGGTGTGTAATTGGAGAATAATCCAACTTTTAACTAATTTTGATATTTTATTGTGTTATTTTTGAAGTAACTTTCCCTTCATAATAGTATATTTAAAATGATGAACACTGGTTGTCTACATTTACCTTTTCCCACAGTTCTTTTACTGGAAGTAGGTTGGCAATTGGTGAACATTTGGCTGAATTTAACAATGATTTGAAATAAACCCCTACTTATTCCTACTGAACTCTTTCCTTTAGTGTAAACACTGGCTTACAATTAGGAAACAGAGAGTCCTGCTCTACTTACTAGTGATAGGAGACACCTTATTCTAGATATCAGTGATAAGCCTTTCTTAGGAAAGCTTTTTTTTCTTTTTTGCTTTATTGTTGGTTAGAGTAACAGGTCGTCTAAGTTTACTTTATTTTTTAGGCGTAGAACATAAGTTTCACTTAGTTCTGGAACTTACAAAGCCCTTGTAGAGTTGTAGAGACAGATCCTCCCCCCTCCCAACCCCTATGCTTATAGAAGAGAGCTTTAACAGAGATCCGATGTCTCCTTTAGTTTCTTGTGGCTCGCTTACATTTAAGGAGGCTTGCAAGGTGCTTGGGAAGGGGAACACTAGTTTGGTTGTGTTTGGCTTCTCCATCTGAGTTCTGCTTTTGTATTCCTACCATCTCACCACCTCCTGAGGGCACGTGGGGTTTCACCTACAGGCCAGCTTCTGGAGGGATCATGCCAAGATTGCTTGAAAGGTTCTTTCTTCTCAAGGATTCAGGGGAGGGGGCTGGGTTGTCTCACAGATGTGTTCCAAATTGCCTCTGTGAAGGCCTCCTCATCTGCTCTCTTGTAGTAAACTTTCTGCTTTAAATGTTATTTATTCCTTTTTAAAAATTTATTCTTCCCAGTGCTATAGAACCTAATACTGACTCCTGTTTTTTTCCTCTGTGGATGGTTTTCAGGTTTAGTTTTGAGTGCTTTACTTTTTCTTTGTATTGGATATTTAATATTCATGGGTGTATATTTCTCTGTATAATTATTCTCTGCTTTTGTGTGTTAGGTTTGTTTCTTTAGCTTTCTTATTTTGCATATTGAAACTTTTGGAACATTATGTTAAATTAGAATTTAGAGACAAATATATAAGCAATAGTAGGAAAAGCTTTTTGTTAGTGGTGATTCTGAGAGCACTTAAATTGAATCCAACATCTAAAAAAAGCATTGAATACAGAGTACTGTCATCCAGTGAAAACAAATTATACAGTTTATTGTTATCTTAGCCTAAAATATGACAGGTCAGTTATTAATGCAGTTTTCACAATAAGTTAGAACATTATGGTACTTGAAGATTTAACACAGATAAATTTGTGGTTTTGCATAAATATGATGCTGATATTCCCATCTGTGGCATTTCACACTGAAGCAAAACAACTTTCCTAATAGTCACAGCTTGTGTCTTAGTCAAAGTCATATCACAGCATCTTTTTCCTGTTCTCACTCTTCTGTGTGATTTTGGAAATGTACTCAAAATATATGATTAATTTTATTAGAGAAGAGTCCTGAGTATGTATACTGTGCTTTCACTAAGTAAACCCTTACTCATTTGTCTTTAATTACTTACTAATTGCTTACCAGACAGACCCAGACCCATAAGCCTGGTGCTCAGAGTGCTCCATAAGCTACTCCCTTAGCTGTTCAGTGTGATGTCTCACTAGTCCCTCACTTTTAAATATTGCTTTATTGAAATGTAATTCACATTCCATACAGTTCACTCAGTTTAGGGCTTTTTAGTGTATCTGCAGAATTGTACTACCATCTCCACAATCAATTTTAGAATATTTTTATCACCCCAGGAAGAAATGCTGGGGTTTTAGAAGTTACATCTTTATAATGATTTTTAAAATTTATTTGTTATTATATTATTGTTGTACTTGGGGTACATCATGACATTTACAAAAGTTCTTACAATATATCATAGTTGAATTCACCCCTTCCACCATTCTCCTTTATAAAATGGTTTTTTTGGCAGTGCTGTGGTTTGAACTCAGGGCTTAAAATTTGCTAAGAAGGTGCTCTACCACTTGAGCCAGGCTTCCAGTGTAAGCAGTTATACCTCAGTTCTAAATCCTCCCAACTTTTTAGAACCACTCACTAATCTGCTTTCTGTCTCTGTGAACTTGCTTTTCTGGCCAATAATAAATGGAATCATGTAATATGTGGCCTTTGTCACTGACTTCTTTTACTTAGCTAAATGTTTTTAAGACTTATCCATGTTGTAGCATATATCAGTACTTTATTCCTTTTTATTACTGAGTAGTATTTACTGTACACGTATGCAGTAATTCCCCCTTAACCACAGGGGATGTGTTTTAGGACCCTTAATGAATGCTGAAACTGCAACTAGTACTCTACCCTATAATTCAATACTTTTCCTGTCTTTCCCAAGCACACACCAAGCACTGTGGCCATAATGTTTTCAGTTTGAAGTGCAACAGCAAAATTAGCACAAATTTCTTTTTCCTTTTTCACCATTTCACAAATAGAAGATTCTGTCTTACCATATACCTTGGCAAATTTAGTGTAGGGTTTTTTTTTTTCCTTATTAAGTTGAGAACTTTTATTTTTCACTCAAAGGAAGCTTCTCTCTGGTATATCCCAACTGTTAGCATCACTAGTCTTATGCTTTGGGGCCCTTACTAGGTAAAATAAGAATTACTTGAACACAAGCACGGCTATACTACAGGATGGTGTGGGATGGATGAGAGATTTCACCAGACTCATTAAGATGGCACATTCATAAAACTTATGAATTGTTTATTTCTGGAATTTTCCATTTAATATTTTCAGACCATGGTTGACCACGGATAACTGAAACCTGGGAAAGCAGAACCTTTTGTAAGGAGGCTCTACTACACCACATTCTATCCATTTATCAGGGGATGGACCCTTGAGCTGTTTCCACTCAGACCTGCACTGTTTGAAGCAGTCACACTGGGCTGTTCACCATTACTCAGATTATTGTGGTCATCCCTAACTCTGCCTATCCTCATCATGGAATACCCTTTCATTAGACCTGTTTAATATTTACCATCTCCAGGATCCAGCCTTAATTTTGCATCTGCCATAAGGCCTTCCCTAACTGCTGAAGCCACATGGACACCAGGCTTCCTCAGTTCCAAGATCACTTTTTGTGACTGGAATCCTCATGAGGCAATTAATTAATCATTGCTTATATTCCTTAACTTGTGTGTACATGTACATTTTTAAAAATAGATTTTAAACTCTTGGAGGATAAGCCATATTTTATGTTGTTATTTTGTGGTACATCCTTATTCTTTGTTGTGATATAAACATATGTCTCTTAATGGTATGAAGTATATGTAAGATGACCAAAATGCTAGTGGAATTAAGCAACTTCTGATCTTTTTGAAATTGTGGGAAGTAGAATCAGACAGACTTAGACAATATCTTATTCTGTTATTCATTATCTTTGAGATCATGGTTTTTGAGCCTTGATTTTCTCATCTGTAAAGTGGAACAATCCCTATTTCCTAGAGGGGTTTTATTATGTGTAGAGTGCCCAGCCACAGTGGGAACCCAGTTAAAGTCAATTCCCTTCTGTTTCCTTTCCCTGCATCAGTCACTTAGGTGCTCAAGATACATTTCAAACTCCTAAAGAGGACAGTGGTTTTAAATTTTTCTTCTAATAATTTAATAAATTAATTGTGATAGCCATTAACTTTCTTTTTTAATATTTAAAATATTCTGATAAATATCTTAATATTTTTCAGAAACCAGCATCTTCACAAGTTATAGTGAAGTATTTTTAACTGAGTGATAGTAAGGTCAGCCTGCTTTACAGATTTGTGTTCTTATAAAT